GCACTAACTATCTAGGACTATGCATTACACACTAACCATGTAGAGGTGCCATTGATGACTTTGTCTTTTGGCGATTCTGTGACAAATAGTGCAGTTCCTTCCTGGAACAGTGCCTGGCAAATCAGGAAAATTCAATACCTGTGTAAAATGTTATGAATGCTTTGGAGTCATGTATCTATGCATGATTTCAAAATCAAGACACATGAGTTTAAAGACTCAAACCTGTTTAGACAGATGTTTTGATTATGTTTTCTTTGTCAAAAAATATCTAAATAGAAAGAATTTGTGAAAAAAGCCTGTAGACTGGCCTCATTAGGTTTTGCAATGGGATTTTTTTTTTTGAGAAATTTCCATGATATGATGAGATGGGGCTTGAGATTTTATGACAGAAATAATAATGATGGTGATAATGATAAAATAATCATTGTGGTTCTGAGAACAAAGGCCTTAAATACATATCAATAATTAGAAAAGGTGGTTCAAAGAAAATGAGCACCTCCAAACGCATTACAATGGGCAAATTGAATTTGGTCCCAGTGAGAATCACGCTGTTCCACTGAAGGAAAATTAAGCGCTAGCCTTCCAGTATGAAAGGACACAGGGGGCCAGTCTGTGGAGAGCTTAGCTCAAGGCCATCTGGGAGGAAAGTGCTACCCACACACGAGAGCTCTCCGTTCCGGGCAAGCCAGGGAGGGGTTCACTTCATGTGGGTGAACTCACTTGTCCCAGGAGACCACTTTATTTACAGCTTTTTCCTACTGGATCAGGCTCATTTGTTTTTATGTCTCAAGTCTACGTGTAGTCCTTGCTCACATTGAGTGTGTTATTATAAACACCTTTTGGTATGCCACCACTAAAATGGAGTGCTCCAAACAAATGTTCTCTCAGGGCAATAACTCCTTACTATAAACTGCATTTAATAAAACTGGTAGTGATCCTGAAAAAGAAAGGAGTAAGGCATATTCAGAGAAAATGTCTGGAAGAAATTTGCAATTAATATTTTACAAGACATTTAGATTCCACCGATTCCTCCTTGCTGTTAAAATTTAAGAGCTTTTTCAAAACTGTATTCCTCTCTGTTATTACATCCTTAATTAAATTAATTTATACAGTGAATGCTCTGATGATACTGCTGTAGATTTTCAATCCAAAAGCCTTATTGCTAGAGACAACATGTAAGACCTTGCAAGAAGAATGACATGGGCTATGGGATATTTGGCCCTGACATCTGATTACTGAAAAGATCGTGGCCATTTTTCTGTGTCTCAATTAAGGTTTTTATTTTATTTTTTAAATTAAGCTAAGTTAGCTGAGTTGGAAAAAAAAATGAATCTTCTGAGTTGCATTTACAAGGATTTCTTTCTGGGAAATAGAATGACAGAAGATGACATTTCTATTAAATAATTCCCTCAGCCAGATTGTGCCTACCTGAAAACCCACACAAAGAAGCTCTGCTAAGCCTGACTTGTTGATCTTCAAAGCAGAAGTAACCAACATTTGTTCAAGAACACGATGGTTCAGCTGTGGAAAATGTCAGTCTAACAATTGTGTACCAAGCTGGGTGGCTCATTCCATGACCCTGCTGTGCAGAGTCACAGGGGTCTCAAAGGGGGGGCTGTGTGTGTGTGTGTGGGGGGAGGTGGAGGGAAGGAGGGGGAGAGAGTGAGACAGAGAGGGAGGAAGGGAGGGAGGGAGGGAGGGAGGGAGGGAGGGGCAGTTGGGCATAGCCTAGTTCGTGCCTCCCACACAGTAGGCACTAAATAATCATGTATGATTTGTTAATCTAATACAAAGTCAGTCATTACAAAGGCGCCGTACCTAAGATTTGACCTCCTGCAAGGCTCTCATGCTTTGCTCTCCATGTTGAGCTTTTGGACTTGCTCCCTTACTTCTAATAGTGTATTTCTAGGATTGTGTTGAACATTTCATAGGCTTTGAGACCCTGTGTCTTTCTAACATACTAAGGTTGGAGAACTGTGTCCTTAACGACTTTACACTGTTTAGTGTGGTCCTGGTCGTTGACCCCCCTCCCACCACCCATGCAAAGGTCTCATCATCCATCCAAGACAGGAGAGGGCTGTCTTTATATTCAAATCTAGGAGTACACATGTTCAGCCACATAGCAGGCAGCCCCATACCAACCCATCTCGCTTCCTTCAAAAACAAAGATGTTTCTTAAACATGAATCAAGTTTGGTTGCCTGAGAAAAAGTTTTGTATTGGTATAAAACATCAACTGCAAAGGGAAATAAATAGGAAAAACCCAAACTGTCAGTACCATTTGATCTTGTTTTAAATTGAAAGTTTGGGCACTTAAAAAAAATAAATAAAAGGCAGCAAGTGCCTTTATAATGGATTTTATCTGCAGGAAAATGATTACAACCCGAAAAGCTTTAAAGTGTCAGCTGGTGATGCATTTTTCTTGATCCCTTTTATTTTTATTCAGAAGGAAATTGAAGGCATATGGCAAAGTGCATCATTAATTTCTTATTAATTTCATAATATGAAGGCAACCAGTTAAAATAGTAGTGCTACAACTTTAAATTACCGAACTCACTTGGTATTTAATGAGAGATTTAGCACAGCAGGGTTTCTGTTAAATTAAGTTGTGCCTTCACATCGCAGTGGGAAAACAGGTGTATATTGGTTTAGAATTATGGAAATGTTGACTAATTCCAAGGCTTGTAATCAAACAGCAAGGCACCCTGTAATATTTTTTCCCAAGAATATGCATTAATCTTTTATGTCTGGTCCCATTTCTTCCTGTCCACCAAAAGCTCACAGCTAAAAGGAAACCACTTTCATGTTCTTCCTGTAGCTGTAAAGGTGATCTTTATCAGATAAAGCTATACATAGATGCAAGCTATGCAACTCTGTTCCTATTTACGTAATTTGAAAAGGAAAATGTAGCAAAAGTGTGAGCCCTGTGAAGACTATGAGGCTAACAAAGCAAATCCTACTTCTCAAAATTTTCATTTAACCTGTCTCAAGTAATTGGCATGTGAAATTGAACTGGATAAAAAGAAAACCAAAAACAATCCACAAACTCTTTTCAACTCCAGAGTTACTGTCTTCAATAATGGGTTCCAACGATCACCATTCCTACTGATTGTATTCAGAGTTTTTAAGGGAAAGACAAAAAGGGACAAGTGAAACTTTTTTTTTTTTTTAAATACAGAAGCTACTGTTTGTTTGTGAAAAGGGTCACCGTAAGATGTCCCACACAGCAGCATATTCATCAGTCACTTGTATATTTTCCAACATGGCCATTCATCATATAAAATTTGGGTTTCTTCAGAATGTCTTACGAAGATTGTTTATTGGGACCTGAGCTTCTGATGGAGAGAAGGAAGCTCAACTCAGATCAACTATGATTTGCATTAATTTAAAATAGGATGTAATATGGTACCTATATACTGTACATGAAAATGTAGATAGATATATAAATGCAAAGACAAATTCATCACCTCAAATAAATTTTTAAACATACCTAGAAGAAATTTTGTGTGCTAATTTCTTTTTCAGAGAAGGAATATTAAAAATTGATCTTTAGGTTTGATTTTATTCTATCATTGCTGGTGCAGGAAATATCTGTCTTGTTGATTCATTTGATAATATGACCCTAATGTTGCAGTTTCTTGGAATTCACACTGAAAAAATTCCATTTATTTGGAGAATTAAAAAGCTGAAATGCTACTTTTTAAAATTTCTAGAAATACCTATTAAAAATAGGCACCTTACTAAAAACCACCCTGGAAGTTTCTAGAAGACAGAGTAAAATGAATTGGGAGAGAGAATTCTAACACCACAATCTTGCTTTCTGAACTTCTTTGATTTGCTCACACAAAAAAGGTATACGAAAGTTGTGTGATTCCAGATCAAGGTTCATATTAATTACTTTTTGGTGATTAAGATGTCAGAGTGCTTTGAAACCTTTGTTGAGTTATCTTACCACTACAAATACTATAACATGTTTAGTGGATCTAAGGTGAATTAAACAAATACTGTCTTTTCTGAATGAGGGTTGATGGGTTATAAAATACATGTTTAGTATGTACACATGGCGTAGGGGGAGAGGTGGGTATGATTACAGAGAGAGCTAAATGACACAAAGTTCGAATCAGACGTTGAAAACATTAGGGACATTACGTTATCTTTCTGTATTCTTATCAAACCAGATTTCAATAAAATCATTATCACTACACTACTTACCCCAGATTCGTCATTATCACCAATGCACACTGCTATGACATTAAATTAACTCATCCCCGAGATTCTGGTCAATGGGAGAAATTTCCAAACCGCATAGGAAAATTTATACTAGCAGGCACTATACAAAATTGCCACAAAACCCTTTAGAAATAATGTATTCTGATGAAGCAGCTCTATGCAACCATCAGTTCATTTCCAGTGAATTGCACTAATCATCAAATATAACTGGGAAGGAAATGGGGGGGAAATGGTAAGCTTTGTATTTGCTGTTCTATATCAACATGAAGTCACAAATTGGGCATTAAAACATTGCCTTTGTTAACTACCACTGACTGTTTAGAAACCATTAGGAGGTTTAATATTATGGCTGTACAGGGTACATTTTGTCCTTTCAAAAGAGAATCTAAAGACGAAATTTGAAAAGGGGCTCCTGGTGGGTAAAAGCTTTTCCTTTTCCATTTGCTACCCTCATGCATGTTGCTCCCCCTGCCCCCTTTACAATCTTAGCCCACCCAATACTCTGGCAGCCGCTGCTACCCAGTGGGGTCACTCTGACTCTCTAGCTGGGTCACATGCTATTCTGGAGCTCTTCACACCGGCGTTAATGCCAGGGCTTCTTCATGGGCCCGCCAGCTGGTCTGGCTGCTGCAGGGAAGCGAGGGGTCAGCATCACACTCCTCCAAAGACCAAAGCGATGTTTGGCATTAAGAGCCCATAACTAGAACTTTCAGATGAAAGAACCATTTTCAAGCAATCAAGTGATTTTGGTACAAAAGTAAACCGACTCACCCCAGGTAAAGTTTTAATATTGTGCAGTGCATTCTGGGCCTCAAGTGCAGCTTTTCTTGTATAAAATGTTACGAAACAACAACCTACAGAGAGAAATGAAAAGGTTTTAGAAATTTCTGTGAATGCTTTGCTTAGATATAATGGAGACTGTGGTGAACAAATAATCTACTTAAAAAGGATGCACAATTTAAAAATAACAAAGTATATGAGAACAGTAATAACAACATCTCAAACATTTACACAGTGCCTTTCATCTTAAATCACATTTATTAGCTTTGCCTGCATTGGAAATCAATTCCTAACTTTGCACACCAACTATCTGGAATACAGTTCTTCAGGATGTCATGATCAGGGGGTGGGGGAGTTTTTAGTGCCACTGATGGTGTAGCTACCACATAAAGCGAAGTGTTTAATCACAATAGCAACAGCAGAAACTTACATCAAATGTAATTTTCTTAAAGAGTATCTCCAGAATAACACACTTTTAAAACGCTTTCTGAACTCGAAGGTTTAAACAAGCATACAATGCTTAAAAGCTGAGAAATGCTTTCTTCTATCCCCACCACAGTGCATAATGCATTTTCATATGGGATATACTTAGTATGTTTGCCAAAGGAACAACCATATTTAGTCAGTTCAGAAATGAAGTGCACATGCCAGGCACATGCAGACTGTCCCACATATGAAACACACTGGTGGCACATCAATTGGCAACCCGTGAGCCCTTATTTTCAAGAGTCAATGGCAGTCCACAGTGGCTGGGCCTTGGAGAAACCAGGGACACCTTTTCCAGCCAACTACCCAAGAGAATGGGATTGAGACCTTAGCCCACTTCCTTCTTTGTCCTGAGGGATGGGTGACCCCTTCTTCAACCTGTAGCTAAAGATACATCTGGTTAAACTGAATAAAGATACCAGCTAAAAATCTGTTAACTAGATTACAGTTCCTTAGCAAAACCAGGCTTGTGAAAACAGAGTAGACAAAACTTTAGAAATTTACAGAAGATAGATGGTGTATCTGACCTGGGCTGTCTTAGAAAAGAAGCAGAGGGAGGTGCCCACCAAGACTGCACATACTTTATCATGACTTTATTCAAGGATCCTAGTGCCTGGAACCAGAGATATGGGAAGGGTTTTGAGAAGCACTCAGTTGCCAAGAACAGCAAGTCAGTAGGATGAGTGATATGTACAGCACTTCGTTATCAATCTCAGTTCTGTTTAGGAGAAGGATATAAATAAGACCAAGAGCTGGGAGAAAAACAAGGTTGGGGGCAGGAAGTTGGTACCTCATCAAGAGTTTAGAACCTTTGGAGTTCTTGGTCAAGGTGATTTTCTGGCTTTTTAAAACAAGTCATTCAATGGAGTAGGGAAAGAGAGTCCAGTACATCTGAGATGCTTCCTCCTCATCTGGAAAGGAAATCTGGAATCTTACTGTCTTATGTATACTTGATTCCATGGGACTCTACCAAGATTAAATATGCAAAACCTTCACCTTTTGGACTAAGTGGAATATGATCAAAGATAGCTTCTTGGTATTAAAAAAAAACAAAAACAAAAACAAAACAAAAACCCACATATCCAAAGATTTAGAAACTCTTAAAATACAGTTTTGTATGGAGGGAACTGAAAATTGCGAAACTGATACAAAGAATCACAGGAGGACAGATTGACCATTTTTTTTACACGAGCTTTTCACTTTGCTTTTGAATTCTTTGACCAGAGTTCATTTGCTCAGGCAAATGAATTTTTTGGTAGAATTTTTTTTTTTTAATCCAAACTCATCAAATAGACTAGTGATTTTTTTTTAACCTCATTAGCATAACATAAGTTCTATTAAAAAACTGCAGGAGTATCTTTAAAGCAAGAAATCATTGTTAACTAGAAAAGTGAAGTTCCAGCTTCCAGTACTCTCTGATAATCACTCTACAAAGAAGAAAAATACCAACCATGTTTCACTAGGCTTGGTGTAGAAAGAAAACCAGGAAGAGACGTGGTATTTGCCTTCTAAACTCTTCTCACAGATGGAGTAAGTTTTCCCACCCCTCTCCTGGCCTTAGGGGGTTTTCTTTGATAAGGAAGCAATGGGGGAACTTCTGAACTTCCACCTCAATGATCAAAGCTTCAAAACAGGCAGGACTTGAGGCTTTTAAACTGGTAGATTTTGGGGGCTATGACTCAAAATAGTTTTGGCAATGAAGTAGAAGTGCTAAGGCAGTAATGCTTGCCGGAAAGAAGGCAAGCAAGGAAGAGTAAATCTGGGAAATGAAATGAAATGAAACGCCAGTATAGCCATGTTCAGAGCTAGGAATAAACTACTTAGGCTGATCTAAAGAACCAACAATGGAAAATGAAACACAGTAAGAAGATAACAGCATCAAGGAACAAAGATGAAGTCAACTTGACGGACAGGCACAAGTCTCAGGAATAAAGGAAACTCTCAGGAGTTTTTCCTCAGGATAAAATAAACTCTCCTGCCTTAAACACCTAAACACACCCCACTGCCCAACCTGTGCTGAGAAGGTGCAGGTGCTGTTCATTTTCTGGTTAATGCTGGAGGGTCACCCTTGGGGAAGGTAACATTCAATTGTTCTCGCTATTTACATTTTAAAGGCAATTTGATGACAAAGTGTTTTTCTCTTGAACAAGAGTGTTAGTGAGCAGGTGGTTTGCTTAGTCTTAGAAAAGAGAAGTTTGAAGCTCCTGTCTGGGCAATGTGGGAAATGGGGTGAAAGGGGGAAAAAATGAGTCTTTGTAGAGAAAGGGGAAATGAAGAGAGCTCAAATCCCAAACACTTCTTAATTTCACCCAGAGTTCCCTGTCTGCACAAGTTACACAGTGAAAGCAGGCGATTTCTCACAACAGAGCCTCTCAAACTATGCAGAGCTTGTAATGTTTACTCTTCACCCACTGAAGCAAAGATTTTTAAAGGTCATGCCGATGTAAGCTCTAGTTCGTGTGATACTGGAGGCTGTCCTGGACAGCCTCAATGCTGTGCTTTCCTTACTGAATCTGACCCCCCACTCAACAGCTCAGTTCACAGGTGTCAAACTTGGCAAGAGAATCAGGAATCTTTCACAAGGTCCCATCTGCAGATGGCACAGTCCATGGCATGGTGAGCAGGGCGCAGGCTGAATTTCTGCCCCTCTCTGCGGCTTCAGCTGAGCAGCCGGACCAGTCACCCGGTCCTGGACTGTAGGCATGACTGGGAGTATTGCCCTATACTCTTTAGTGTCATCCATTTGATTCTGATTCAGGGGAACATCTTAATTTTCTCTGTAGCTTCTTCACCACCAAATCACTCAATAGAAGCAAGTCTGCCTAGAACCTGCTCCCCATCCCCACCCTCCACCCCAACAACATGGGTATACAGCTGGAGTGATTTTGTTCAGGGCAAATTTTTTTTTAAGTCACAGTATTCTTTACCTTTTTTGGACTAAAAATGTCTTGTGCTTTATTCAGCATGTAAAGTAGTTCACTTATTAAAAACAGGGCTTGATTAAGTTAGCTTAAAATTTGCAGGATGCAGGAGTACCTCAGATTCAGCAACGTATGTTTTACCTCATTGAGAGTTCAGTCTGCTCACTTCTGCAGTAAGCGTGCTGGACAGAATGTGGCTTCTAAGCGCTCCCCAGCCACCTCCCATAGTCTTCCTTATCCATGATTGTATGTTCATTTAAAACCTTAGATTCGCTGACTTGCACAGATTACTTTAACAAAGGGGGAGAAAATATGGTCTGTCCTGACCTGATTATTATCATGGAAAAAGCTCAGGGAGCTACTATGCATCCCAGAAAAACACTTGAAGGTTTAACAAGGATGAAATTTTCTTTCGTGCCTACCCTAACTGAACGTACAGCTGTTGAGGGAACCACCTGTCTTTTAGATTTCCCCACGCCAGCTGCAGCTCAGGTCTGAAATGTATTGGATTCATTTTCAGGTCAGCTGCAACACCAGATGGCTCAGCAATCTGATTCAGGGGACAGACTCCCTGCTCTAGCAAGTTCTATTTCAAACACAGTCGCAAGGTGGGTGGTTAAGCATTGACAATATCCACAGGTGCTCTTCAATGGGCCGTGTTAGTAACATGCACCAGAGGAGGCAGCCCCATGGGCTTCACCATCATTCCTGGAAGCCTCCTTTCCTTGCTGTCCATGGAGCGGAGAGAATGGGTCTACTCCATCAAAGGTGGAAGTCACTGGCCAAGGGGCTCTGGGCAATTAGTAGAGGCCTGGAAAGTCAGGTTCTCAGCAAGGCTCAGCCTTTTACTTTCTACTGTATTTTTGCTGTGTCACACCTGCCTGCTTTGCTTGAGTGACCCTGCATCATATGCACGCACACAGCACAGTTCTTGCCACCATCACACATTCAGTTCTGGCCGGCCCCCAGCCAGCTAAGGAGAGATAAATGGGATGTGCCCCATCCATGTTACTGTATGGGCTCCGCTTTCCAACAGTTTCAACAGTTCATTGTATTAGTAAGAGCTCTGAACTTTGGAGTCAAAAGAAAAATAAATCCATCTATCCTGTGTCTATTTCTTAATCTCACTTCCTTAGTGTTCTCTAGGGCTTTTTAAGTTCACGGGTGTAATAGGTTTGGTGGTAAAACTGGAGCAGTGATTCCAGAGTCAAATAGAAAGTCTTAGGTCTACACCGAGTCAATAGGTACACTACTGATGACCTCTCACTGACCACCAAGAGTGACCCTGATGAGGCGGGAACTACCATCGTGTGGTCACATTAAAGCTTCTTGGCTATCAGCATCACCTTGAGAATTAATTAGAAACTTCACTATAAACATCTAACAGAACCCCTAAGAAGGCACAGCTGATGAGAAGACAGATGATTTCTTGATGACAGAGGAGGCTGAAGAGAAGCATCTTGGGGACAGTGTGCTGGCCCTGAGGGAGCAGAGAAGACTGGACAAGCTTGTCTGCTTCCAGGTTCCTGTCAGCCCTGTGTCTGCTCCTTAAGCCCTTTACTGCCTAGATCCCCAAAAGTTGGTATGTTGAACAATCCATTTTGCATGTGTTCATCCTGTAAGGCCACGTGTCATCAGTGCTACAATTGTGTAATATGAATAGACGC